CGGTCACTGCCCCTCCTGTGGCCAAAGCAGGTCCTGGTAGCCCGATCAGTGGCCCAGCTGCCCCTCCTGTGGCCAAAGCAGCTCCTGGTAGCCCGATCACTGCCCCTCCTGTGGCCAAACCAGCTCCTGGTAGCCCGGTCACTGCCCCAGCTGTCCCCTCTGTCCCTGTCACACCGCCCATGGCACCTCTGGCCACCCCTCCTGTGGCCAAACCAGTTCCTGGTAGCCCGGTCACTGCCCCAGCTGCCCCTCCTGTGGCCAAAGCAGCTCCTGGTAGCCCGGTCACTGCCCCTCCTGTGGCCAAACCAGGTCCTGGTAGCCCGGTCACTGCTCCAGCTGTCCCCTCTGTCCCTGTCACAGTGGCCATGGCAGCTCCAGCCACCCCTCCTGTGGCCAAAACAGCTCCTGCTGCCCCTGTCACAGTGGCCATGACAGCTCCAGCCACCCTTCCTGTGGCCAAAGCAGTTCCTGGTAGCCCGGTCAGTGCCCCAGCTGTCCCTCCTGTGGCCAAAACACCTCCCTTGAGTCCGGTCACTGCTCCAGCTGTCCCCTCTGTCCCTGTCACAGTGGCCGTGGCAGCTCCAGCCACCCCTCCTGTGGCCAAAACAGCTCCTGCTGCCCCTGTCACAGTGGCCATGGCACCACTGGCCACCCCTCCTCTGGCCAAAGCAGTTCCTGGGAGCCCAGTCAGTGCCCCAGCTGTCCCCTCTGTCCCTGTCACACCACCCATGGCACCTTTGGCCACCCCTCCTGTGGCCAAACTAGCTCCTGGTAGCCCGGTCACTGCCCCAGCTGTCCCCTCTGTCCCTGTCACACCACCCATGGCACCTGTGGCCACTCCTCCTGTGGCCAAAGCAGCTCCTGGTAGCCCGGTCACTGCCCCTGTCCCACCGGCCATGGCAGCTCCACCCTCTCCATCTGCCCCTCCCGCAGCCAAAGAGGCTCCCAAGGGCCCTGTCACTCCAGCTGTCCCCACCCCAGCTCCAGCCACGTCACCTGCCACCAAAACTGCTCCAAAGAGTGCTATGGCTGCTCCCCCATCCTCTGCCACCTCTGCCACCCCTGTCCCTGCCACCCCAGCAGAAAAAACTGCTCCCAAGAGTCCTGTGGCTGCCACCTCTGTCCCTGTCACCCCTGTCCCTGCCACCTCTGCCACCCCAGCTCCTGCCACCCCTGTCCCTGCCACCCCTGTCCCTGCTAACCCTGTCCCTGCCACTCCAGCAGCAAAAACTGCTCCAAAGAGTCCTGTGGCTGCCACCTCTGTCCCTGCCACCTCTGCCACCCCTGTCCCTACCACCCCTGTTCCTGCCACCTCTGCCACCCCTGTCCCTGCCACCCCAGCTCCTGCAGCTCCAGCTGCTCCTCCAGCAGCCAAAACACCCCCAAAGAGCCCTGCAAAAGGCACTCCAACCCCTGCAGCTCCATCTGCCCCTACTGAGGACAAGGCACCCCCTAAGAGCCCTGCCAAAGCCACCCCAGCTCCATCTGCCCCCACTGAGGACAAGGCACCCCCAAAAAGCCCTGCCAAAGCCACCCCAGCTCCAGCCACCCCCACTGAGGACAAGGCACCCCCAAAAAGCCCTGCCAAAGCCACCCCAGCTCCTTCTTCCCCCGGAGGAGCCAAAAAAGCTCCCAAGGGCAGCGCCAACTCTGCCCCATCTGCTCCAGCGGCTCCTGCTGAGGCCAAAACACCCCCAAAAAGCCCTGACGAAGCCATCCCAGCTCCTGCTGAGGCCAAAACACTCTCAAAAAGCCCTGATGAAGCCAAAACACCCTCAAAAAGCCCTGCTGAAGGCAAGGCACCCACAAAGAGCCCTGCCAAAGCCACCCCAGCTCCAGCAGCCTCTGCTGAGGCCAAAACACCCCCAAAAAGCCCTGCTGAGGTCAAAACACCCCCAAAAAGCCCTGCTGAGGCCAAAACACCCCCAAAGAGCCCTGACAAAGCCACCCCAGCTCCTGCTGAGGCCAAAACACCCTCAAAAAGCCCCGCTGAGGCCAAAACAGCCCCAAAAAGCCCTGCAAAAGCCACTGCAACCCCTGCAGCTCCATCTGCCCCTCCTGAATCAAAAACACCCCCAAAGAGCCCTGCAAAAGCCCCCCCAGCTCCAGCACCTCCTGCTGAGGCCACAGGACCCTCAAAAAGTGTCACTGATGGCAAAGCACCCCCAAAGAGCCCCGTTAAGGCCACCCCAAGTCCTGCAGCTCCTGCTGAGGCCAAGGCACCCCCAAAAAGCCCTGCCAAAGGCACCCCAGCTCCAGCCACCCCTGCTGAGGCCAAAACACCTCCAGCTCCTGCCCAAACACCTCCAAAGAGCCCCGTTTCGGCCAGTGCAGCTCCAGCAGCCAAAACACCCCCAAAAAGCCCTGCAAAAGGCACCCCAGCTCCTGCTGAGGCCAAAACACCCTCAAAGAGCCCTGCAAAAGCCACCCCAGCTCCAGCTGCCCCTGCTGAAGCCAAAACACCCCCAAAAAGCCCTGCAAAAGCCACCCCAGCTCCAGCTGCCCCTGCTGAAGCCAAAACACCCCCAAAGAGCCCTGCAAAAGCCACCCCAGCTCCTGCTGAGGCCAAAGCACCCTCAAAAAGCCCTGCTGAAGCCAAGGCACCCCCAAAAAGCCCTGCTGAAGCCAAGGCACCCTCAAAAAGCCCTGCTGAAGCCAAGGCCCCC